ACTGTCATTATTGACAATGCCCCGTTATTAAGGCTTCGTACACAGTGTTTCCTGCACAACATGATTTATTGTGGAAGGTCCGATCAACAAGTTCCAACACAGTAATTTTAACAATTTTTTACTCTTTACAACTCATAAGCAATGCATATTCAACTCGTGAAACTTTAATTGAAATCTGTGCACCAACATAGACCAGAATCGCACCAACGATTCTTCACATATCCGCAGTCACATATGCCAGAATCGCACCAACGATTCTTCACATATCCGCAGTCACATATGCCAGAATCGCATCAACGATTCTCGACATATCTTCCGTCACATATGCTATAATACACGAGGGGCTCTGTGCACCAACACAGGCCAGAATCGCAGCAACGATTCTTTATATATCTGCCGTTACATATGCCAGAATCGCACCAACGATTCTCCACATATCCACCGCCAAATATGCTACAACACATCTGTCGCCACATATGCCAGAATCGCACCAACGATTCCCTACATATCTGCCGCCAAATATGCACCAACACAGACAGAAATCGCACCAACGATTTCCTACAGACCCATCGCTACATGTTACTCATGAGGTGCGGTCTAAAGTTTTGAGTATGAGTATACAAGCATTCTTAATCAAATTTGGTCTCACTACCACTGTCATCAACTATGACATCTAACTCTCGAGGAACTTGGTGATCGGGACTCTTCCTCACATGATCATGGGGGGTATTTGTGGGGTACTTTGCACACTAAAATGACCACTTTCGGTTGAATTTACAATATTATTTACACTTTTGCCACCAAACTTTGGCGCCACACAATCTTTGATGAGGCTCTCTCATTCGGCACCAGAATCATAATAAAATGGGTACGACTCACCAGTATTATCATCAGCACACCGCTGGGATTGCTGACACAGCAAACGTCAATACGTCACTCATACCGTGGACTATAATAACTTCGCTTTCACAAGTAAGCATACGTCTCCATACGAAGTATCTCACACATAATCTTGAACTTGCAAGATCCCACGTTAACCACGTGAACCACGTTAAAAACGTGGACGAGGACAGCGCCTGCCAGGACAGAGCCTGATACATGTTTAGAAAACACTACTGCGCACACAGAGTCTACGACTTCTGCGCACACAGTGCATGACTTCCGCGCATACAGAGTACACGACTTCAGAGGCATCGTCATGTATAGCATACGCGCGCTCCGGGATGGCGCCCACCACGCGTGCAGCAAACGCGTCTGCCGAAACCAGGCCATACTATAGCTGGACCCGGCAGTCCGTTCCGACTAGCAAGGCACACCCTCGCCTTACGCTCGCACACATGTAATCACATCACACGTACTACTGTAACACATAAAAGAAAACATTAAAAGATTCAGTAGGAACTTTTTTTCCACAAAATTCAGCACTACTCTCGAGACACTATTCGCCTTTCCAGGGCACCATATACTGAGCTGCAGCTACACGACAACCTCTGGTACGGTCCGATCCTCCTGTAAACTTAAATACTCTCTTCAATGTCAGAACTAATTTGCTCTACTTAACTTTCATCAGTTATACTTTGGTTTTCCGCTATTTTTCGCAACCAATTAAAAATGTAAACACTTATTCTTACAAAATATGTTTTAAGACAATGTTAGGAATAAATTTACTTTCCTCATGTATCAAATGGTGATCGGTAGCAGCGGCAATTAACGTGGTCGCGGCGTCATAAGCCGACAGCATATTTCCACTCAAGAGCGATCGCCACAGCACCAGGGTGGGCAGTAACAGGGACTTTATCCCACTTCTGATATTGGAAATGACAACGGGAGATCCCACTTCTGATGTCGGAGAATTACAACAGAGGATTCCAATTTTGATCTTGGAAATACATCAGGATAGCGTTAATTGTTAAAAATAATAAAAGTGTGAGAGCGGATGTTCAACTTGCTCTCTTGCTTACGCAGTTTAATCATTATCAGTAATAAGGCAACGTGACGCACTATACATTCAGTATAGTGAAATTACAGTTCGACCACACCGTAACACGTCTCTGCCACAATCACAAACCAGTGTAACGTGAGGTACGTAATTACATGATAACACCAAAATATGTAAACCAACAGCAACACCACTTATCTCAACTCTCAGCAACACTAATCCTCCTTGCCTGTACTAGAAGAATTACAACAACGAATAAAACCACGACACTATCTTAGCACTAGTAGAATGACCACAATGAACTTTATACTACAGACACAAGAGGGGGTTTCTCGATATACCCTCCATTCTACCTCGATCCAACCAGGTATTTTATAGACGCTCCGACATATAGAATAGCTCCGAACTACCACTCGGAGCGTTTGCCGCTCCCCGGGCAGAACACCTTGAGATCTCCCCTTTTTCTTCCACCGGCTACAACTACAACATAAATATGAATGTAAATGATGACCAAAGGGCATCAATCAATCAATCATTTTTTTATACAGGGTTATTTTTCTAAGTGTACCCAAATTTAACATTTAAGTTCAAATATATACTAAATACTGATATAAATTTTTGTTGTTTTTAAAATACGAGTAAATAAGGCTTCTCCTTTTATTTGAAATTATCCCAAATTGAATGTGATGTCTATGCAATAACTACGCTTACGTGCGCTCCTCTGTGTGCGATTCAATTCACAAAGTTTCTGTCTACTGAGAGATTGAAGAAAGTTTCTTCCTACTTTGTTTGCATAAAATTGAAGAAAAATCTCTTTGGTCGTACTGTTTGTATCTGGCTGGATTTAATATCAATACATATACAATGTTAAGCAAAATAAAAATAAAAAGTAAACACCACTTTCCCACCATTTTTCAATTAATTTTCTGTCCGTTAAAATGCATGAATCCAACAAAGAAGTTGGATACATTCTGTAGTTTTATTACAAAATAGGAAAAATGCGACTTAAGCCGCGTAAATACTTTGTGACGTTTATGGACCTAATGCAGTGTCAGTAAGAGTAGCACAAAGTTGGTTCAAACATTTTCAGTCCAGGAATTTTGATGTCAAAAACGCAGCTCGCTCGTCGCCGCTGGTCTGGTCTGGTTTTTGAAAAAGTGGAACAAAATCGGCATATTAGTAGTTACGACACAGACGAGGAATTGAGGATTGACCATAAAATAGTTTTGAAATTTGAAAAAGTCTGGCTAAACAAACAAGCCCGATATTTGGGTACCACACATGCTCACTGAAAGAAACCAAGTGAATCGTGTACTCATTTGCGATTCTCTATTGAAAGTAGCAACTATAATAAAAATAGCACTTATTAACAAATAGTCAAGTATAAAGAAATAACAAGAGTTTTCATTATTATGAACAATAATAACATAACTTTTTAACTTATTTACCAACAGAAGGATTTTTATTTTCTTTTAGACTTGTTCCGTGCGTTTGATGGAATAGCGAATAGTTAAACGATTGAATATAACAATTAGACAATTATACAGTTAGAGATTAAACATAGGTCATAAATTCTGTCACATGTTTAATATAAAATAATTGAAACAAGTTTATTCATTATGTAACCATTTATATACCAAAATGAACTTAACAAAACATAGATTCTTATGACACTAAAGTTTATTTAAAATGACCCCCGTAATTTTGAATACAGGCCTTCAATCTGCGCGGCCAGTCGTCTATCGCAGCACGAACGAGGTCCATGTCAATATCGGCGGCTGCCTTAATCAAGGATGTCTTGAGTGACTCCAAATTGGGATGAGGCTTTGAGCACGCCTTTTCCTCCAAGTGTTGCCATATCTTGTAATCTAACGGATTCAAATCTGGACTGGAGGAGGGCCAGTCTTCGTGCCGGATGAAGTCGATTTCACGCGCCGCCAGCCAGTCTTGTGTGCTCTTCGCTCTATGAGCTGGCGCCGAATCTTGTTGGAATACCCAGTGCCTGTTATTGAACATGATATGAGAAACAGGTTCCACAAGGTTCGTCAGGACTGTATTTTGATACACAACTGCATTCGTTTTTACATCTTTCTCACAAAAATGTACCTCTGTTAAGCCCCAATAAGAAACTCCCAACCATACCATGAGCGAGGATGGAAAATGACCTCGTTGGACTCGCGGAATACGGTTGCTCGCTTCTTCACTACTGTGTGCGTACACCTTATCATTTTGTTTGTTGTAGCTCTCTTCTACGGTAAAAATTCTTTCATCCGAATAAAGAATTTCCCGATATTTTTTTCCCGCGTACCGCTTCAACAAAGCGCGGCATCTCTTCAGTCTCAGGTCCATTAGACGAGCATTCAAACGATGTCCTGTTTTTCTTCGATATGCCCGAAGCCCTAAGTCTTCATTTAACACCCTTTTCACCGTGGTTCTGCTTAACCCCATCTGAAGGGCCAACAGTTTCTGCTTACGTTTGGGATTTCTTTGAATTCGCGCCTTCACAGCTTTTATCACTGCTGGAGTCCTAACAGACCGAGGGCGACCACTTCTTGACCTGTCATCTACACTAGAGTCTTCATTGTATCGTTTGATGGTACGATAAACGAATCTTTTGGTTATATTCAAATTTTTCAGTATGTCTAAAATTTGAATTGGCGCGTAACCGCAACGATGCAACGCAATAACTGCAACACGGTCTTCTTTAAGCGTCCACTCCATATTTAAAAATGAGTAAAATTCTAAAAAGTATACAGTTTTATTTTCATGAACAATTCGAAATTCGAATTCAATAAACTTTTTTGTGGCCAGCATTCTAAAAGAAAAGTTTTTACTGTGTGACAATACTTATGACCTGACTAGGTATAACCCACTATGCTATTCACACGTTATCTATTATAGAATTTAATAAAATAAATGTTCAATGTAGATACATAAGAAATTAAGTAAATTTTCAGACATGATAAGACAAAAGAGAATTCAGAGTCGAAAAAAAATCAAGCTCACACACAACAAAAACAAAGACTAGACAAATTTGTAGTCCAAAGATCCAAAAACTTACCTGGCCTGTTCGTTGGGGAGAGGAATCTCGATCTTCCTGTCCAAACGTCCGGGCCGAAGTAGCGCGGGGTCCAAGGTGTCGGGTCTGTTGGTGGCCATGATGATCTTCACCTGCCCCAGGGAATCGAACCCGTCCATCTGGTTCAGCAGTTCCATCAGCGTGCGCTGGATCTCACGGTCGGCGCTGGTGCCCTCGGAGAAACGTCTCCCACCTGATAATAAAAGCCTTATAGAGTTTCTTGCTAGTTTTTTAATTGACAGATGTTTTATGCGAACCAGTGGTAAAAGCATAAACAAACTAGATCTAGACGTGATGTCTTCATCACTTGTGAAGCGCTTTTGATGATTTTTTTTATTATTAAAAGTTTATACTTAACCCCTTACCGCATGAATAATTAAAGAGATTGAACGAAAATTCTTCTTTAACGTAATAGTGTCTAATACTTACATGAGATCAAATTGAAATTAAAAAAAATAATTAAGATATTAGAAGTTGTTACTTGAAGCCTTATACGGCTTCGTATGTGTTTAAGAAAAATATGAATTAAAAAGATCGATATATACTATATCTATCTTTTATGTGCAAGCCATTATTACCAAAATAGTGAATCATAAATAAAATTAAATTTGATACTTTATTTCCAATGCACAATTTGCAGTAACAAATGGATTTTATCAAAATAAATATTTTAATCGCTTCTGATGTTCAAAGTAGATAAACTTTGTCTTTTAAACTACGCAATTTGGTCAAATATTTTAAAAGTAACGACGATATAAAATTGTGCGGTCCGGCGCGCGCAGGGCGGTCGGGCGTACTGCGGGCGAGATGGGGAAAACATCGCTCATCGCCGCGGGAGCAAATGTACCTCACGCTTAAACCGCTGAACTGAATTAGATAAAATTTGGTATCGAGATAGTTTAAGTCCCGGGGAAGGAAATAGGATAGCTTTGATCACATAAATCATCACTAAAGAGGGTGACGGAATTTACTATGAAAGTGCGATTATTGATGCATCACCTATGGTTTAATGTATAATATCTACGCGGACGACGTCGCGGCCAAAAGCTAGTATTATATAATTCTACTGTCCGTGTGTATGTGACTGAACTACTCCTAAACGGCTGGACCGATTTTGATGAGTTTTTGTGTGGGTGTGATGTAGGTGATCCGAGAAGGGTTTAGATTCACAATTGGACCAGATAGGTGGCGCTGTTGTCAAAATATAGAAATCACCCGTGCGACGCCCGCCGGGGCGAACCGCTAGTATTGAATAAAAATAATTCTATTCCATACTATTCTGTTACTTTACAAAAATTACGATTTACAACACCAATGTTTTAACGCCAATACATAGAACATATACTTATTACCGTCTTACTAACTACAATTAGTAACATCTCTATGAGCAATATTATATATTTACTCACCAATGGCGTCGATTTCGTCCATGAAAATGATGCAAGGCTGGTGGTCCCGCGCGTAGTTGAACATCTCGCGGATCAAACGAGCCGACTCGCCGATGTATTTATCTACAATGGCCGACGATACCACCTATAAGACGAAAGGTATAAAAATAATATTAAATTTCCTATGGCGAATTAGACTTCATGTTATTTAGAACTGCCTTCAGCAGGGTAAGATCTATTAATGTGGCGTTATCAAAATTTACAATAATGATCACACAACAATGTGACTCTGCAATGAATCAAGGGACACAATGGATCCAGGAGCAGCGACGCAGCACACGAACTGGCCAGGAGAGGATCGGCTATGGCCGTTATAGGATCGGAACCGATCATATCGATCCCTTTTGGTAACGTTCGTTCACTGGTACGTAAAAATTTTACTAATCTAGAGGCTCAGCTTTGGAAAAATCTAGTGGACTGCAGGCAAGCTAGAGAGGCCCTGCAAGAAATAAACAGTCGCATAACCAAGGTCCACAGATCCACAGATGAGGATAACAACAAGTCCTATTACAGGACATGACTCCTTTCTCCAAGTCATCGTATAAAATATAGTCTTAGCCATATTATCTTTTCATGAAGTTTCATTAATCGATTCAGCCATTCTACAGGTTAGCCAGGACAGACAGACTGTTTTTTTTCTTTGTTTGTAATTTGTTGCTGGTGTCCATGGGCTGCCGTAGCCACTTACCATCATCAATAAATTAATTTCACATTATGAAGACTGTCCTAAGACATTGTATATATAAAGGCGGCTCTTCACCTTGGCCAACATAGTGGAGAATGTGTTGGCCAATACCAATGGCCATCGTGTAGAGCGGGTGTTTGTGCTTACATTGGTATGTATTGGAATGATGGCCCACAAGTTGGCGCGACATCCATGTGGTGTCGGTTTGTTTACAAAAGATCAAAGGGCAGTGGCAGAGTATTGGCCGCCGCGTCCACACGTTGGGCGCACTTTAGTTTGCTACAAGCTCCCAGAGTGATCGCACCAGGAGAAAAGTATTCTGTGGATCTCACGCACCTGATTTAAATTTTATATTCACGCATCGTAACTAGTGTCCACCAAATCGCAGTAATAATAACCAATGAAGAAACATTAATTTTAAAAATTAAGATTTATGGAATTATAGAGCTCTACCAAGCTGAAAATTGTTTGTGGAATAGAAGAAATAAAATTAATTTTTTCCATTTCCATTTTTTTCTTATACACATTCATGTAGTAGCAGTATGCTGTGAATAAATGACCCGCAGCAGCCGTTGGCGCCTCAATATCTATTTTAATAAATTCGTCCGCACATTGGCCTGAACTGAAGCAAACTGAACGACCTTCCAACGTGTGGACGCCATCACAAACTCTTGGCTAATATCTTTGCCAACACATTCGCCACCATGTTGGCCAACGTGAAGAGCCGCCTTAAGAATTAAGGCCCAACTCAATGTGAAATTATTTTATTCTTTTTAGTTCTTCGAAGTTGGCTTTTACTTTTTATTGCAAATGTTTTTTTTTTCAATAGTCTCTAGCATAGATAAATAATGAAAAACAAAGACAATATGTGTGCAGGTCACACGCGATATAAGTGAAACCTTCAGGAAACTAAACTTCGAGAGAATGAGATGAATGCAGAGTAACGAGTAGAATAATTTTAGTTATTTAATATAATACTAGCTGTTTCCCGCGACTTCGGATCGGCTATGGACACACAACAATGTGACTCTGCAATGAATCAAGGGACACAATGGATCCAGGAGCAGCGACGCAGCACACGAACTGGCCAGGAGAGGATCGGCTATGGCCGTTATAGGATCGGAACCGATCATATCGATCCCTTTTGGTAACGTTCGTTCACTGGTACGTAAAAATTTTACTAATCTAGAGGCTCAGCTTTGGAAAAATCTAGTGGACTGCAGGCAAGCTAGAGAGGCCCTGCAAGAAATAAACAGTCGCATAACCAAGGTCCACAGATCCACAGATGAGGATAACAACAAGTCCTATTACAGGACATGACTCCTTTCTCCAAGTCATCGTATAAAATATAGTCTTAGCCATATTATCTTTTCATGAAGTTTCATTAACCGATTCAGCCATTCTACAGGTTAGCCAGGACAGACAGACTGTTTTTTCTTTGTTTGTAATTTGTTGCTGGTGTCCATGCGCTGCCGTAGCCACTTACCATCATCAATAAATTAATTTCACATTATGAAGACTGTCCTAAGACATTGTATATATAATGGCGGCTCTTCACCTTGGACAACATAATGGAGAATGTGTTGGCCAATACCAATGGCCATCGTGTAGAGCGGGTGTTTGTGCTTACATTGGTATGTATTGGAATGATGGTCCACAAGTTGGCGCGACATCCATTTGGTGTCGGTTTTTTACAAAAGATCAAAGGGCTGTGGCAGAGTATTGGCCGCCGCGTCCAAACGTTGGGCGCACTTTAGTTTGCTACAAGCTCCCAGAGTGATCGCACCAGGAGAAAAGTATTCTGTGGATCTCACGCACCTGATTTAAATTTTATATTCACGCATCGTAACTAGTGTCCACCAAATCGCAGTAATAATAACCAATGAAGAAACATTAATTTTAAAAATTAAGATTTATGGAATTATAGAGCTCTATCAAGCTGAAAATTGTTTGTGGAACAGAAGAAATAAAATTAATTTTTTCCATTTCCATTTTTTTCTTATACACATTCATGTAGTAGCGGTATGCTGTGAATAAATGACCCGCAGCAGCCGTTAGCGCCTCAATACCTATTTTAATAAATTCGTCCGCACATTGGCCTGAACGGAAGCAAACTGAACGACCTTCCAACGTGTGGACGCCATCACAAACTCTTGGCTAATATCTTTGCCAACACATTCGCCACCATGTTGGCCAACGTGAAGAGCCGCCTTAAGAATTAAGGCCCAACTTCACAATGTGAAATTATTTTATTCTTTTTAGTTCTTCGAAGTTGGCTTTTACTTTTTATTGAAAATATTTTTTTTTTTCAATAGTCTCTAGCATAGATAAATAATGAAAAACAAAGACAATATGTGTACAGGTCACACGCGATATAAGTGAAACCTTCAGGAAACTAAACTTCGAGAGAATGAGATGAATGCAGAGTAACAGGAGTAGAATAATTTTAGTTATTTAATATAATACTAGCTGTTTCATTATTACGATTGGATTTCATGGGTTTTAATTATTTCGCGCGGAACCCTAATTCTTTTTCTAAAATGAAAGTAGCATAAGTTACTCCTTATAACATCAACTATCTACCAGTGAAAGTCCTGTCAAAATCGGTTGAGTCGTTTCAGAGGTTAGCCGGAACAAACAGACAGAAAGACAGACAAATATTTTAAAAATTGTGTTTTTGTGATAAGTACCGTATATAATTTCATATGCATATAGTAAAAAGCTGTTATTTTGACATTACAAACAGACACTTCAATTTTATTTATTTGTATAGATTGTTACCTTTAAATTCATTAAGATTATTTTACATTTTATTCTACATATCCAGTTTACGATCAAGTTTGCAGCGCGCTTGAAGCGGCGTCCGGTAAACTTGACGGTGTGTGGCTATCAGTGTGCATGACAAGTCTACTTGTATGTCATGTAAACTTGAACGTGTGTATGGGCAGTAAGTATGACGTTAGTCGGAGCAAATAAGCGAGAGACGCGACGGTTTCAACTGGTGCGGCATCGTGCTAACTTGACGGCGAACTTGAATATGAGTGGTCTATATGGATGCACTGCAAACTGGACGCCGCTTCAAGTGCGCTGCAAACTTGAAAGTTAGCTGGATCGTGTATGACATCCATTACGTACTATACAGTTTTCAATTTCATTATCAAGTACTTAAATATTTTCAAATAACAAATTTCGTCCTTAAACCTTACTACTCATAGATCACATGCAGAATCTACATACATAATAGGAAACACTGTATACTGTATTCTATCTCATTCTCTAGCAGACTAAATCCTATTGTTTTTTTTAATAGCATAGGGTGACAAACGAGCACACAGTCCACCTGACGGTAAGTGGTTGCTATGGCCCATACACATCTACATGTATCCTCTATAAAGAATCAAAATGCAGATGCGTCTTCACCCGTGAGGTCTAAGATGGAATGCCTCTTTTCCAGTAAAATGGGTCTCCAGTTCTCTACACTCACCATACGAAACACAGCAGTATCGAGCTGCCATTTTACGCTGGTAATCTGTGAGAGCGTGATCCTTCCGCGGTCGAGCCGACCCATTCGTGCTACAACTATTCTACTAATATAGCTGTGGTATGGCTCTACCATGTATAAATGATGACTATGTTTGTTGACTAGGCTATATAGGCTGTAATGGATGGATGTATAGAAGATGATATACCAGGAGTACATGACTGATGAATATGTTCGTCTCTTTTTAGTATCGTTTTTTCGTTTCAACGAGTAAATCACAATTCTCAATCAATACTAAGACTTTATTTTGTGCGTATTTTGAATGAAAATAAAATTTTTATTACCTTGAGGAAGTTTGCATCGAGCTGAGAGGCCACAGCCCTCGCCAGTAAGGTCTTGCCAGTTCCCGGTGGACCATATAGCAGGCAACCCTTTGGCGGAGTGATTCCTACACGGACGAAGAGTTCTGGATTCAACAAGGGGAGTTCAATCACCTGGAATATATATAATTATTATTAAGCTGCTATTTACGCTGGTATTCTGTAGGAGCGTGGTTCTTTGCTTGTAGAGCAATTTGTGCTACAACCAAAATATAGCTGCAGTGAGCCACGCTCATGGTACTAGGAGGTACGATTTTTTTCTGCATATGAGTCCGCCAGGGTGAGTATAATTCTCTTGCCTCTTTCTACCGCTAAACAGCAGTGGAGTACTGGTATAATTGCAAGCTATGAGGCATTCCATCTTAGTCTTCAAAAACAACAAAATACATCAAATTCAAATCCAACAGTGGTGATGGAGTGTCATTGCTAATTTGAAGCTTTGAGGGTACAGGTTCTGTAACAAACTCTTTGAACGATTGGTAGTTCAATTTTTTTTATAACAGAGGGGGCAAACGAGCATTCGGCTCACCTGATGGTAAGTGACTACTGCCACCCATGAACAACCGCAACACCAAGGTAATTGCAGATCCGCTGCCGGCCTTTTAGAAAGGTGTAAGCTCTTTTCTTGAAGGTCCCTAAGTCGTATCGGTACGGAAAAATCGCCGGTGGTAAACAATTCCACAGAGAAGTTGTGCGAGGAAGAAAAAGCATCCAGATGGTGAGGATGGTATCGTGAATTTTGACGCGATGTGCGTTCGTGAAATTTGGCGGCTGGAATTAATCCGAACAATTCCTCAGAGCACTCCCCGTGGTAGTTTAGGGATAGGGATGCCTACGTTCAACTGTGGACTTTATTGATGATAGGCTGAAATGGTAAGAATTCTTTGCTGGCAACAATTTACAAAAAGAAAAACATGGTTGAATATCTGCCTGAAAGTATACCTATGTTTATGTGATATTGACATATTCTTGGGAAGTCACCCATCAGAGAATTTGAAGTATTTGATAAAAACGAACGATCTGACCAGATCCAAAGAGACCTCAAAAAAATTGAATACACTTTACCTCTCTCAACTGTCGGATTTGTTCCTGAAGGCCACCAATAGCAGAGTATGTGACATCGCCGGGATCCTCGTGACTCATATTGTAGACTAGTGGATCCACCTGAAATCAAAAACAAGACCCAGGTATAGTTATTGTAGTTTTATGTATTTTACACATTTCACTTTACAGATATTTTAAATGTTGTGATTGTAACATTCTAAAATATTGTGTAACAATTAACACCCAATATAGTAAAATATCAAACAGAATGCAGAAACAAACAGGCAATACCGGTTTTATAGCCCTAAGAACCGACAACCGAAGTGACAGCCAGACCATTAAGCGAAATGTAGATGTAAAAATTGGAATTCTTTTTAAAAGATACACGCCAGATCAAGTAGCAAAACAAACAAAAGATATTACAATTTTACCCTCAACATTATCAATACATAACATAATACCTTTCTATCCCAATAACACGGTTACAATCATAATTTAGGCCTAAAGTTAAAATAAACCATTTTTATTACTGTTTTTCATTATTTGTTTCTAATCACTAATAAACCACAGGTTCTTGCCAATTTGTAATTACAGTTTAGTCAGTACTTGGTATGTCAATAATTTCAGGCCACATTTCTGGTGGTAGTATTTGTATTGATGGGTCAGACCCAGAAGACGAATTTGATCTTCTACATAATTGAGATATTGGCAGGGCCTCAGAGGTCTGGTTTTCGGTTACGGCGGTGGATCGCGCCAGTATTTGGTCAACATGTCGGCGAATTATCAGTCCATCTTCCATTCTCACCATATAACAACCAGGATCCTCGACATACTCAATGGTGGCGCGTCGCCACTTCTCTCCTGGCCCATAGGCACGTACCAGCACGGGCTGGTTGAGCGCGAAGGCTCGGCCGGGCACTCGCTGCGCCACCTCCTCCAGCTGCCGCTCAGAGCATTCTGGTCCACTGTCCGGATGTAACGCCGACACCACAGTTCTATATTTACGTCCATTCAACATCTCTGCAGGAGTTTTACCGAGGTGATTCGGCACCGTTCTGAGCGAGTAGAACACCCTAGGTAGTTTCTCAGTCCATAATACCCCTGCATCAGACATTTTCTTGAGCTTGTTCTAGAAGGTCTGTATCGCCCGTTCAATCTTAATTTCACAAAGGACTCATTAGCCGCTGGTAATGGAAATGTATCAGTCTCTTTGGCTAAATTAACAGTTGACCTGTAGTCACCACATATTCGAAGCGAGCCGTCATCTTTTTTTACAATTCTTAATGGAGTAGTCCATTTGGAGTATTTTACATGGGTTAATATCCCTTCATTTACCATGCATGTTAATTGTTCCTCAACTTGTTTTTTCAGGGGAAACGGTATAGGAGGTGCCTTAAAAAACCGTGGCGGGCCATCAGCTCGCACATTTAAGGACACTTGAGGGCCCTTATACTCTCCAAGTCCTCCTTTAAATAACTCCGGAAAGGCTTTTAAAAATTCATCAATCTTATCATCTGTCCAGCATATGCCAGCTATCTCTAAACCCAACATTTTAAACCAGTTTGTTCCTAAAAGGCTAGGCCCATGACCAGAAACAACCAGTAGCTCACATTGTGCTTCCTTGTTTCCTAATGATACTCGAACATGAGTTCGGCCTAACACCTTCAGTTCATCACGGGTCCATGTAACCAACTTCACGCCTGTCGCCTCTAAAGGTGGGGGGAAACAGACCACAGGTTATAGTATGTATCTTCAGACATGATTGTTCTTGAAGCACCTGAGTCCATGCTTACCTTCACACCCTCGATCATAAGATCTGCTTTGAATGGTGGTTGAATATTATCTAAGCAGACAAAGATACCCATCATCTGTTCAGATTTTTCATTTTCTATATCTGAAGTTGAACTTTGGCCCACCTGGTGCAACTTGCCAGATTTCTTCATACAGGCCGGCATAATATGTCCAAACTTCTTACAATAAAAACATTTTGCTTTTATAAAAGGACATCTTTCGCCCTCACTGTGTGACCGTGCACAATGACGACATGTGATCGCTTTAATTTTACCAATATCCATAGGTACTGTAGCTGTGGATGGAGTTTGCTTTAGCACACTTGTTTCCCGGTACAAATCTGAGAATGTGCCTTGGTAGTTAAGGCTCAATTGCACTGCTAACTCATAAATAAGATTTTTCGTCTTTAACAACTCACGACGGAGACGCTCGTCACACACTCCTAAGTAGCTGCCTTTTTAAGTCTATAAAATTACACCTGGAACCTAAAGAGCCAATGGCCGCTATAAAGTCCTGAACACTTTCATTATGATTTTGTTGATGTTTATGAATTTTATCAGTTTGTAAAATTTCACTCACTTGAGGTTCATAGAATTGGTCAAGCACTGCCAAAATAAAAAATAAAAAATAATTACGCAGTAAAAAAAGTTTTACATAGTGCAGCCATGCTACAGCTATATTTATAGTATAGTTGTAGCATGAATGGGTCGGCTCGACCGGGGAGGGACCACGCTCTCAGAGAATATCAGGGTAAAATAGCAGCTTAATGCTGCTGTATTTTGTATGGTGAGTGTAGAGAACCGGAGACCCTTTTTACTGGAAAAGAAGCCTTTCATTTTAGTCCTCAAGTCTGATAATGCATCTGCATTTTGATTCACAAACGAGGATAGATGTGGATGTCTATGGGCCTTAGCAACCACTTACCATCAGGCGGACTGTGTGATCATTTGTCACTGTATTTCTATAAAAAAAAAAAAAAAACAAAAGTGATTTTACAGATGTAGATAAGAACTTATTTTTTGTGTTAACTATAAGTGCATATATGGAACCATTTCGACAGCACCTATAATAATTAGTTTTGCGTAGTACAAGACATATTAGAACATTTATATATATTTTTCAGCATAATATATGCAGTAAAATATAGGCAAGTCGTGAAATGAAATTTACAGGATGGCAGTCAAATAATATTCCCAAAGACAGTAAAAAGTAGGACTGTCCTCTCACTGATAATAGTAGTTTAAAAACTTTACCTCTCTAGGTAAATGACGCATAATAGTAAGTGTAGTCATATCTAGAGCAACTCTGGTCCCTCCCTTCAGCTTGTTCTTGTCAAGTTGTCGACGGCATCCAACTACGTATCGGGGACCGTTTGTTGCTTTCACAATAACTGTAATTAAATTATAATGTGTTTTATATCTAAAAATTTGATCACAATGACACTAGTTATCTTTAAAAACTATTAGAGCAATAGTGATAAAAATTAATAAGGTTCTAATTACACAATTGGAAATCAAAAGAAACAGTCTGATGATATTATTTGTTCTCTAAATATGCATAGAGAAATTTACTACAAATGTACTGACAAACACACACACACGCACGCACACACACACACACACACACACAGACATCCTCCTATAAACCTTTAAACAAGGAGATATGTCAAAACTTGGATTCTAAAAAATCAGACCCATTAACAAAAATATTAAAAACTTTGCCAGGCATCCTAATATGCAAAACTAAAATGATTATATGAATAACTTACATTTTTCCTCGGTCAACTGCTTTAACACCTCACCAACAATTTGTCCAACACTTTGCAGGGCTTTTAAGTCATTTTCACTTTTATCATATTGTTTGGTTAGATCTTTTAACTGTTCTCTCACTGTAATGAAAAATATCAAATAAATTATTTAAAATTAACCATAAGATAAGACAAGATAAGCCATTTATTCCAAACTTTGAGATTACTTGATTATGACAATAAATAGTTGCAGATTAGGTAATGTATAAATTAAAGGATGTCCCGCAGTTCGGTGTGCCTCTTGGCATAGGCCTCCTCCAACATTTTCCACTGGGTTCTGTCGTGCGCTACCCTTCTCCAGTGATGACCAGCTGTGAGTTTGAGATCCGTCTTCCCATCTCGTCTGTTGATGCCCTCTATTGCGCTTGCCATCTCTGGGGTACCAATCAGTGACGCTATTAGACCATTTGTCCTGGGGATCTCGGATCATATGGCCTGCCCACCTCCACTTTTGTTGGTCTATTTGGTTAATTATATTGACTACTTTTGTTTTTTCTCTTATTGTGCTACTTCTTACTTTGTCTAACTTCCTTATTCCTGGATACGAAACTTGGGCACTCACCAAATTTCACAGAGAAAAGTTGAAACGCTGTCAGAGAGCCATGGAGAGAAGAAGTTTAACAGGAATACCATTAATGATAGCATATCAAAGGTCCACTACTGAACAATCCCATAGATTATGTACGTAGGAGGTATATAGCTAGAGTATTTGCCACGCTGGTGGGCAGCACTTAAAAATAGAAGCTTATTATTTTTAATAAATGTTATCAGGCAGATGCTGCTGTCCATCTCCTGACTCAGTTACTCTCTGTCACCTATTAGAACACCCACAGGATGAAATCGGGTAGTGGATATTTTTTTGTATATTATTTTTTTTTATAGGATAAGGGTGACAAACGGGCACACAGTCCACCTGATGGTAAGTGGTTGCTGCGGCCCATAGACATCTATATCTATCCTCGTTTGCGAATCAAAATGCAGATGCGTTGTCACCCGTGAGGACTAAGATGGAATGCCTCATTTCCAGTAAAAAGGGCCTTTCTTAATTCCTGTGATATGTTTAATTTACATTCAGTTTCCTTTTTTTATCATAAATTCAACTTGAAGAACTTGAACCATAATTTGCAAAGCAACTATTAACAACATATTTTTTTTCTTTTATTCTGTAAAATATCATTAATTCCAGTTAACTTGTAACAATGCTATAGTGAGCAATTTTTTGTAAAAAAAGTAACAAAGATGAAATTTAAGAATAGGGTACACAATAAAACATAGAACGCAGGGTTGCATTATTCTTGGACTATGTTTATGCCAGTATTTTATTGCAGTGTTACTACCTTTAGAAGAGGAATGTGTCAATATCATAGTTAGGTAAGTTGACTAAGGCAATTTGGCTAACTTGCTACCAAGTACTTAGGTTAAACTGAAACATGTAGTAGTAGTGTAAGAATATTCACTACCGTATATCATCCTGTGGCTTGTAAAATGCGACAAAGGAAAACTGGGAAATGCTGTGCAATAGTTTCCACCGCTTTTTATAGTAGTAATTTTGTTTTGGGTAAAATATACTCCTTTTAGTGTCAATTTTGAAGTCAACAAATTGAGCAAAACTATAGATGTTGAGAAAAAAATTGCCAAGTTTCTTTCGGGGTTGGTAGGATAGTGGGAGTAGTGAGGGTGGGAAAAATCATGTGATGGGTCTAAACTTGACGGCTCAGTGGTGCAGTGGCTTAGCAATGAGTTACAGAGCTGGGGGTCGTGGGTTGGAATCCTGCACGGAACAAGTATTGGTATGGCCTACAAATAATTGTTCTGGGTCTGGATGTTTGTCTTGTGCATTTTATGTTTGTAAACTGCCTCTACGATACAGGAGAAAATTCTAGTGTGGAGGTAACGTTTTTTTTTTTTTAAAGAAAGAAAGAAACTTATTTTCAAGCAATAATGAGGTCTATGACATCTTTAAGGTCAAGGTTAAATTTAATTTTTATTTTTTTTCTTCTCTTTTAAGTTGTAAGACCAAGATTAAGTTATTAATTACAGTAGGTACATAGAATGTAAGTGGGTGATGTATTCGCAAACAAACTGCCCTGCAGTTTGGCGAAAGTAGTGTAAGAAATAACCGAATGTATTTTTGTATAATAAACATTTAAAAAAAAACTCAGAAGTCAAGATCAAACACTGAAAGTCAAGATAAATTCAAAATATGCAAAAATTTTGGAATACTATCTTATAACAAGCTCTGAAGACAAGGACATTTTCAAAGCTTATGCCAAAGGTTAAAGTCAAATTATTAAATTATACTTAAATACACATCATAGTAAAATCTAAATAATGTAATAAAGTGCAATCGATGGAGCTCTGCTATGCAGGGCTCCTATTTCTGTCTGAAGGGTTTAAAGTCATTTAACATGAAGCAGATGGCAGAACAGACCAGACCAGATTTAATTAAGACCAGGAGATCAGTGTTTAATTTACAGGTTGGAGCATTGACGCTGGATAGCACTCTAAATGTTAGAGTTAAAAAAAGTTAAATTAAATGCTATACAATTCCTAGAAGTAAGGTGCTTTTGGGTAAATTGGACATATTTTCTGATTAGTTAATACAATGCATATTTAATAATTATTTTTAGAAAATCTATCCAAGTTTACAAGCAACTCATGTCACTTTTGTTTATTGAAATACATATCCTATTTCGTTATTCTTCTTAATAAAATGTCTTTGCTTTGCATAAATATGATCATTTAAAATTTCACCAGTCACCAGACCCCTATCCCCTTCGAACCTAACCTATCAGAGTCCATTTTTAAGTCCGTAAAATTAGTTTTATTTAAAAATGTGTAGTGTTCGCGTAAATATAAGAAATCACTATCAGAGTCCAGTTGCCCACAAGTGCATCCTTAGTTCTCTTTGCTTCTATATGGAGTTGTATTATTTTTGAATATTATGTTTGTGTAGTTTATAATGTAAAAGGGTAACATAAAAGGAAAAACAAATTATATTATTTACTTCACAATTGAGTTTAATATATTAGCAGGTTTTTAAAATTTAAATATTAATTAAAGTTGGAAACTTGAAATATATAAACTAAAAATCATTAAAATCCACTGTCATTTTATCTGAACATAAAACGAAACGACCTAGGTGTGAAATTCGTACATTGTTCGGCACCAATTTACATTGTGTACTTTGTAAAATGGTGCAGTAAACTGAAGCAGGAGAAGGGTAGTAGCATCTTCTTGATAACAACTGTACTTAAATATAAGCCGGTTGCCAAGCCGCTTGCCAAGCGTAGCAACTATGGCAAATATTTGTATCAGTATTAGACAATCTATGGGGAAAGCCTATGTTAAGCGGTGCTTTTGAAGACTGTAATGGTAGTGATAATAGTAATAATCTGTATATATAATAAGTTGAGGTATTTAATCAGGATACAATGAAATAACAACAAATAAATAAGATGTTACTGCAATGATATGGCAGAAATCATTAAATTTGGTAAAAGTACGTACTGTCTTTAAGTCTTGATTCGACTTCTTTGTGCTCCATCAACTTTTTTCTGTAATCTTGAAAGGCTTTTTCCCTCAAGGGATCCATTGTAGATGTTCCAGCAGGCATTTCAAAGAATATATTAAAATTAACGCCTTTGAACACAAGGAATGATAATCAAAAATTGTTTGATTTTGACATTCAAGCGTCAAATCAATTGTCAATTCTTTTTTTAAATTATTTATAAGCAAAGAGACTTATGTTCATACAGCCTTATCTGACGCATATTTGACTTATTAAAAATCTTCGCAAATGTGTCACATTGCGATCCTAGTTTTACGACGACAGCTTAAATTTTAAATTAACATACACAATAAAGCGTGTCTATATGATATTCTTCCCAAAATAATCCCTCGACCAGTGAGTATTAATTCCCTCTTTACTATCCCTGATTCCATATATGTCAATATGATCTCAAAATATATTTAAATGTATAATATTAAACTCTAATTATTGTGTACTAAATTTAGCTTAACCTAATTCTCTACTCCCTGCTCAGGCTAATCCCCTTCTACAACTAGGTGTTTGTTCTATATTGTGGGGTCCACAATTCGTGTATTTAGTTGCTTTCTTTTTATCCATATTTTCACCTAATAACCGCTAACTCATTTCGCACCGAAAAGCCTCAAGACAAGGTGTGAGAGACCAAAGACCGGACATGGGCAGAATTATTGTGACACAACCACAATACCAAGGGCCATATTGAAAAGAAAGCGTCTCACACACTACGCAGATACGATAATATATCTGTATCTGAGCGCATACGAGTATCTTTCAATATCGCTCTCTGTGAAATTCAATGAACTTACACACACCGAGCAGACAATTTATAGTAGGGGAGCCCATGATGCTATTGGGGATATAATCGAGCGTCGTAGGGACCTATTAGATTTTGTAGAATAGTTGATTGACAGAAAAAAAAGTTATATAATGTTTCCCCTTCCAGTGATGGGGGAAGCGTCAACAGATATTCAAAAATGTAAAAACTACTACAGTCTACAGATATTCAAAACTTACTTCCAGTGCGTCAGATATTCAAAAGGCATATTAAGTAAACCCAAAAAATGCTCCCATTCAAAAGACGATTCGGAAGTGACGCAAGCTCGTACTGAAAAAAATGTAAAAACGTCGCCATATTGATATACTCTCTTATTATTATACAGAAGTTTCAGCTTGAGGTCCCAGTTATGGTAGCTTAAAATCTGACGATTATTTAGAGGGATTTTTTTTTATAGAATAAGGGTAACAAAAGAGCACACAGTCCACCTGATGTTAAGTGGTTGCTGTGACTCATAGACATCTACATCTATCCTCAATACAGAATCAAAATACAGATGCGTCGTTGCCTGTGAGGACTAATTAGTAAGTTGAAGTGGCAATGAGCCGGCCATATAGCTCGAAAAACCGACAACCGATGGGGAAAAAAGGTTCTGGAGTGGCAGCCTCGTACTGGTAGGCGAAGTTTAGGCCGACCCCCAAATAGATGGAGTGACGACCTGGTAAGACAAGCCAAAATCGATGGATGCCCCTTGTCATGATAGATCCCTTAGTCGTATCTCCTCAGTCTCAAGGCATTTCCCTTCCTGCCTCAGCTAGCATCAGAATCCTCGGCGTCAACATATCGAATAGTGTGCATTTTCGTGGTCACTTGGAAGGGAAGGCAATATTGGCCTCTAAAAAGCTTAGCGTGCTCAGCAGAGCGAGACAGTATTTCATGCCGGCACATCGCTTGCAACTTTACAAAGCGCAAGTTCGGCCTCACATGGAGTACTGTTCTCATCTCTGGTCCGGGGCACCCTAGTGCCAGCTCCTTCCACTTTAACGCATCCAGCGCAGAGCGGTTCGAATCGTCGACGACCGAGTTCTTTCTGATCGGCTCGATACATTGGCACTGCGTAGGGATGTTGCATCCATTTGCATTTTCTATCGAATTTACCACGGGGAGTACCACCCTCTGAGGAATTGTTCGAACTAATTCCAGCCCCCAAATTTCACGAAGGCACATCGCGTCAAAATTCACGATACCATCCTCACCATCTGGAGAGCTGCTGGTGAACTGCTTGGTGGTCCACGACTGTGCGTTTTACTAGGAGTTTTCTTCCTCGTACAACTTCTCTGTGGAATTGTTTACTATCGGTGATTTTTCCGGACCGATACGACTTAGGGACCTTCAAGAAAACAGCTTACACCTTTCTAAAGGGCCGGCAACCCATTTGCAATTCCCCTGGTGTTGCGGTTTCATGGGCGGCGGTAGTCACTTACCATCAGGTGAGCCGCATGCTCGTTTGCCCCCTCTTCTATAAAAAAAATGCAAGTGACTCAGGACCGTGCTTTGTGGCATTCCTTGGGGGAGGCCTATGTTCAGCAGTGAACTTGTGAAGGGCTGTAATGTAATAATCAGACTGCTAGAAATATATTTTTAATGAATTTTTTTATGAACTGTTTTTCTCAATATCTATAAAATGAGACTGAATGGGTGAAGATGGCACGAGAAAGTCATAGATAAGGAAAAGTGAAAGGGAGAGAGTCGCGAAGTGGGTATACATGCTTTACTCCAGCTGCACGTTCTTACCTTCATAGACGATTATTAGTATCGGCAGACTATGATTTTTTTCTTATTTTTGCTTTATTTCCTTCAAAATAAAAAAATCAACCATGCACGAGAATGTCAAGACGACAATTTTGTAACCCTCCTAGTCCCTTACGTTACGTTCAAATCGTCAGATTTTCTAAATGCACCCTTTCTAGCTCGTAATTAGCTGTAAGCACCGACATATATCGAAAGATAGTGACAATATTATCTACTCATACAAATATATCTGCAAATAACATCTCTTAGAAAAGAGGCATTCCATATTAGTCCTCACGGCTGACAACGCGTATGCATTTTGATTCGCAAACGAGGCTAATGTAGATGTATATGGGCCACAGCAACCACTTACCATCAGGTAGACTGTGTGCTCGCTTGTCATCCTTATCCTATATAAAAAAGGAAGCCCCGATTAACGCGTGTACAATCATGCCAACATAATGAATTGGGCACCTAACTATTAAATTATTATTGACAAACATCTCCGCCATTAACATTTATTTGCCATATCTCATGTTTAAATATTATCTCGTATTTCTTAAAGTATTAAAGAAACTTGTAATAACTTAAAATCTATACAAATAAATAAAATTGAAGTATCTGTTTGTAATTTTAAAATTACAGCTTTTTACTAAATGCATATGAAAGTATATACGGTACTAATAACAAAAATACAATTTTTAAAGTTTTTGTCTGCCTGTCTGTCTGTCTGTCTGTCCGTCTGTCTGTATGTTTGTTCCGGCTAATCTCTGAAACGGCTGGACCGATTTTTACGGGACTTTCACTGGCAGCTGATGTGATAAGGAGTAACTTAGACTACTTTTATTTTAGAAAAAAAATTAGGGTTCCGCGCAAGAAAACTAAAACCCCAAATAACACGCGAGCGAAGTCACGAGGATCAGCTAGTATTGAAATAAAAATAAAGACAGAGATGCTCCTCAATAATAAGTTACGCTGAACTGATATTTTAAATCGAGTGCACTTTCATGGCACGTGCAGCTTGTGACATGCAGCCGCACTAATTTGTTTGCACAGACTAATCATAGACTAATATGATGTTTGTTTGTATGAAATAAGCCCAAAAGCGAGGTCAAGCGACGGGTAGCCGGCGTACTACCTTGAAACACGTACGGGTTTTTGCCTGTCGTCTCCTATTTATTTATTATTTATTAAACACGGAAATGAATACAAGCGCTTGTTCCCGCGCGTTTGTCCCACTTAGCGCAGTGGACGCCTTGTTGCCCAGTGTTTTGCAGGTAGATATACCTATCAGTGTTTATTCAATCGAAATAAATGCAACTGTGTGTTTAAAAATAACTGAAATCTTAGCAAGTAGCTGGCACGATAAATATGCCACGCAGTTCTATTTACAATTATGACAATTATTAGTGTTTTTAGGCAAATAGGAAATAAAGTTTCATATCTGAATTAAACTTTAAATCACATTGAAAAAAGAGATCTCATAAATTATTAAACAAATTTAGTGTTAGATTATCGAAAGAAATGTTCTCGGTTTACCAAACAAAAAACTAGTCTTCACGCCCGCTCGCAGTCGACCACAGATTACTCTCAGTCAACTAAAGACTAAAGAAGTTACGGAGAGTTAACTTTAACTTAGTGCCCAATGTATTAGCGTCTTTGCCCTTGTTCCCGGCTATTGTGTACATACAAAGTCTTTGGGAAGAATGAATGATATCAAAAATTACAATTTACAGTAGTCAGCAGTACGAACGATACAGATTTATAAATAAAAATAATAAAGGATTTTTTCTGCTGCAACTTGAAATTTTACTAATTTAACTCTAGATAAAAAACAAAACAAATTGTTTCAAATATTTATTTTACACAAAACTATTATACTAACACGCATTTCATATAGATAACTTATTTATTTTCATTTCGTTAACAATTAACATCACAAAGCATAAAAGAACTAAAATGTACCACGCATTGAGTGACTAATTATTACACGGTACAAGTCACGGCACGTAAGTCTAGCGCTGAATGAAATGTGGAGGGGGCGCGCAAGAATTGAATTGCACGAATACGTCTGGAGAGCCAATCAGCGTGTGCGAACGAAACGCACGAGCCAATCAGCGCGATTTATTCGCAACTAGCTGTGCCCGCGGCGTAGCTCGCGTACATTGGTTTTACTTAAAGAATTTGACGTTTAGGGTAAGAGAATATTACACGATTTATATCATTACTGTATGAATAAGTGGTAACAAAATAAATCGATATGCTCAAAGTTCTAAGTCGTTTATGATAGAGCTTCTATGTAAACGACGTTAGAAGTAAACTTAGCCGGGGCGTACAGAAAAAGAGAGAGATAGAGTTGGCCATGTGCAAAACAATCAGTACTGAGGTCTACTCCTGCAACGCGTAAAGTTTGACCTTGCGCTTTATTTACGATCGTCGCATAACACACGCTGAGTAGGAAACACGCTTAAAATAGGGATATTCGATGATCATCGATGTTAAAAATTAAAACTTCGATGTTTTAACATCAATGTTACACATCATACACATGTCAAACATCGAAACATCGACGTCAATGAACCCATAATCGATAATTGGGAACTTGCAAACAATGCGAACCCGCAAAATAAATCTATACAAATAAATAAAATTGAAGTGTCTGTTTGTAATGTAAAAATTACAGTTTTTTACTAAATACATATGAAATTAAATACGGTACTTATAACTAAAATATAATTTTTAAAATTTTTGTCCGTCTGTCTGTCTGTCTGTTTGTTCCGGGTAATCTCCGAAACGGCTGGACCGATTTTGACGGGACTTTCACTGGCAGGTAGCTGATTTTATAAGGAGTAACTTAGGCTACTTTTATTTTAAAAAAATAATTAGGGTTCCACACAAATACATAAAAACCCTAACACGCGAACGAAGTCGCGGGGAACAGCTAGTATCAACTAATCTTGCATCTGCTCTGAAGATTAAAAATTTTGAATAATTCAGAATTCCTGAACGCATCGTTAACATAAAAAAAAGTCAGTATGGTGTGTCAAACATAATTGTCAAGTATCACCTGTAATGTCATAATGGTCACTGCTTTCGCTTTATTTTGTAGTGTCGTTGTCGGTTGTCGCATAATTACTATTATACGTAAATTGATATTCAAGTTATTTGCTACTTTTCCCTTGATGTGTATTCCCACATAATTTTGAAACAGTGTGTAAGTATCTACACATATACAAAAAACATCGATAATGGTCAACATTGATGTTTAGAGTAGGCTAAACATTGAACATCGATGTTGAGCTATCGATGCCAACATCAATGTTTCTCCAACATCGATCATCCCTATCTTAAAACTGAAAGGAAAGTTATTTGGTATTAGAAAGGTTTTGGGTATAAAACAATATCACAATATTTTATTGCAATTTTGCTACTTATAGTCGAGTTTTGTTGAATAACTTGGACGTACGTATTTTTTTTTCTGTTTTTTGTTTCTGATGATGTTTATGATGTTAGCCTACACGACTCTTACAGGCTTACAGCTTCATCGGACTCATGGACATAAATTTCTTCAGTGAGTCTAAACATATAAAATCAATCTATATAAAATCATCTAAACACATAAACATATAATAGGATAACATTTTTTTTTAACTGTGTTTTAAGTATAAATATATTATAATAGAACGTTTTTTTACACACGAATCTTTTTATTACTATTTTTGAGATTTTATGGCACCACTAAACAAATTCGAACTTACATTTCAAAATAATAATCATAATTTTCGATAGAATTAACAAATTTTAATAAAACAAAGATTAAATGAACTCGATAATACGCTTTATGATTTTCTTAAGGATATAATTTTAAAAAAAAGATGTTTACTCAAAACGTCATGCGTTCATAAACAAACAGACAGACCGTCAGACAGTACAATTCTAAAAATTATAAAAATGTACTTATTTAATGATTTTCAGTCCCCATAATGGTTTTAGTCACAAATTAATATACTATACAATGTATAGAAACAGTCACAACATTCTATCACCATTTTTATTATATGTATATGCATAGATTTAAAGAGAGATGGCGGTGTTATCATCAATTCTAAAAATAAGAGATTAATTGACGCGATTGATACAATGAAAAACATAAAAGAACTTATAAATCAGTGCCTGCATAGTCAGCAAAAAACAAAGTTTGATCCTCGCCGAAAAACGAAATTGTTAATAGCTCTTTTAAAATTTGATTTACCACATAGAGTACTCGGCGGTAAAAAATAAATGAGATTGTCAACACGCAGTAGGGCAGCGTGTTATATAAAGATTGGAAGCAAATATGAAACTCATCTACAGGAAAAAACCTTAACCTGCCTTTTTGTATCACATTTGTGCCACACCACCATCTATCGATGAAATTGGTTAACTATTGTACTTTAGATGTAGATAATAAGGTTAATATATTTTTGTATATAATTATTACGTTCTTTATGTAATACTTTTGTTTACTGCGTTTTAGATATAATTATATCATTATAGAACATTATTTTACCTCATTTAATTATGATTTGTAATATGCTATTAATTTAAAACATACTTGAAGACTCATCCAACGCCACTATTGAACAAATTCGTACCTATACTTAGTACCCATTCTTCAGAATATTTGTCATAACTTTTGATGGAATGAACTGATTTTAATGAAACAAAGACTAAATGTAACCCGAAGATACACTTAATAATTTCCTTAACGTTTCTTATGATATAAATTAGTACTTTATACGTGATACGTTAACAAACAAACAGACAGACAGACAGATAGAAAAATCTGAAAATGGTAGAAATGTATTTAATTACTTATTTTTAGTACCTCCCAATCACTTTTATTACAAAAATGTAAAATGTACAGACATCTGCTATTTACATTTTTATTATACGTATAGATAAGCCAATCAGCGCGACTTACGCGCAATAACGGTCACCGCTAGACTTTCATGCCTCTACTTATGGGTAGTTGCCACAAGGTACCGACTATCGACAAGTTTTAGTTCATCTAAGGTCAGAATGCAGATATCAACAACATTTTTGAAGAGTGTGTATTTACAAATTTGTGTTTGTTATAATCTTCTTTTAATAATTTTATTTTTAGTCAAGCATTTATATTATAACTTCAAAGTTAAAATTAGTCTTTAAAATGTAATACTCAATAAATATATTAATTACTAATCAAATATAAATGTAATAATAAATGTAATCTAATATATCAAAAATAATGTTCGTCTGTTCGTGTTTTATGCGTTGCCATACCCAGCCATACCCTTCATCAGATTGCGGTAAAACTTTGTCAACTTATTGCTTGCACTTGCACGTAGGTTATAGGCATAGTACAAATAGTAGGAGATACGTAAATAGTACCCTTCCATTTTTAAAACGATATTTCCACGCAAATGTTTTTTTGCGGCAGCAATATATATATAATAATAAAAAAAATGAGGCATGTCGGTACTTTTTATAGAATAAGGGTGACGGTGTGAAACGAGCACACAGTCCACCCGATGGAAAGTGGATGCTGTAGCCCATAAACATCTACAATTATCCTCGATTAAGAATCAAAATGCAGATGCATTGTCATCTCTGAGGACTAAGATGGAATGCCTCGTTTCCAGTAAAAATACTAAACACAGCAACATTAAGCTGCTATTTTACGCTAGTATTCTGTAAGAGCGTGGTCCTTCCCCGGTCGAGCCGACCCATTCGTGCTACAGCTATAACATAGCTGCAGCGTGGCTCTACCACCTACGAAACCTAAATAAAATAAGAACATAATCTTTACGATTAAATGTGAACATGCTAAAAAAAAGTAAAAATGACCTTATCATGTCGACAATAAAATCCAAACTCTCCGGCTTCGCATTCTAGGTGTGCAATGTGTGCAATACTATTTGACACGTAGGTAATCAATCTAAGCTCTAAGAGTTTGTACAACCTCATGTGACTTCATGACAGAATATTATTATATATATATATATATATATATATATATATATATATATATATATATATATATATATATATATGGTTAATATATAATTTAAGCACCATGGAATTTTTATTTTGATATATAAAGCCACAAAGTTATTTAACTCTGTCAAGAGTAAGATAATGTTAAGTAATTTAAAAATCTTCATTTAATAAAACCGGGTAACGTTCCATTTTTTCTAGCTTTGGCGACATTTTCGTAATAGCAAGAGAAATCGACATAGCCCTTAATTCGTTTATCCCTGTCATAGGGCCTACAACTCGATATATCGGACGATTCGTTCGATCGATTCGTATCGATGTTGCTGTCGTTTGTTTCCAAATCGTTTGTGTCGGATGAATAAATTTCAGAATCGATTTCGTTCAACAACGTATTCGATTTCGACTGAACGATCGGATTGAATCGTACTGACGTTCTCTCGTTTGGTTTGTGAACTGGATTTCTTAGGTTTATTGTGTCGTTTTGCGGTATAGGTGGTAGGAAGTTGAAATTTCTTATTAATAATGTAACGTGCGTGTTTGATTTCGGAGTTAAATTGTTTTTGGTGCAGTATGAAACGAATTCCTCTTCGATTTCTTCGAGTACGGATTGGCTGACTTTGGTGAAGTTAGTTTGTTTCCTGAAGTTTTCCACTATGATCTGTGCCAGCTGTTTGTTTGTCTGTTCGCTGCAGCCTCTCACTTCTTGGATGCGTTTGTACACTCCACCGCTGACTAGAACTAGGAATCTGTAAAATGGTATAAAGTTAAGTATTATGTATCTCGGAAATTACAACAGGAGTTCCCACTTCTGATCTCGGAATTTCAGCAGAGGATCCCAATTTTGATCTCAGAAATACATCAGGATAGCATTAATTATTAAAAATAATAAAAGTGTGAGAGCGGATGTTCAACTTGCTCTCTTACTTACGCAATTAATGAACTAGAATGACTACACTCATAGAATGACTTAAGCAGAATCTCCTTCGCACGGCGCCTACAGTGAACTTTATACTGCACAAACAAGTGGGGGTTTCTGGATGTACCATCAATTCCACCTCGATCCAACCCGTATTTTATAGACGCTCCGAGATATATATTATTAAAGTCTACAGTAGCATCAAGAGTTGGGTGGGCACATACCATAGTTAAGCCCATGAGGCTTTAAGTGCCTTGTTCTAGTGGATGTTTTAGTTCATTTTAAATAATAAATAAAAAAAGTAAAGTTACAGTTTTTTTATATAGAAAAAGAGCGACAAACGAGCACATAGTCCACCTGTCCATCCTATCGATATGCGTAGAGAGTGACGACCATCCCCGTTTCTACGGGTGCCGCTATAAGTTCCATAGCGGTAATGCCGACACAGACCGACTCATCGACCACGTCCAAATGGCTGGCTCCGTGCTACAACACGGTTTTTTACGTGGTAGAGCCATGCTGCAGCTATATTAATTTTACGTTGTAGAACCGTGCTGCAGCTATATTAATAGTATAGTTGCAGCACGAATGGGTCGGCTCGACCGGGGAAGGACCACGCTCTCACAGAATACCAGCGTAAAATAGCAGCTTAACACTGCTGTGTTTCGTATGGTGAGTGTAGAGAACAAGAGACCCATTTTACTGGAAAAGAGGTATTCCATCTTAGTCCTCACGGCTGACAACGCATCTGCATTTTAATTCGCAAACGAAGATAGATGTAGATGTCTATGGGCCACAGTAACCACTTACCATCAGGTAGACTGTGTGCTTGTTTGTCACACTTATTCTATAAAAAAAAAATACAACATGTCCCATTCGTAGAGATCGTGGCATATGGTCTGACACAACTGGTTACTTCGCCTACGCGGATCGCATGCACCTTGTGTTGGACCTTCTGCTGACCTCTCATCCGGACGGATATCAGATGTTCGTCGATGTCCCTATTGGCTCCTCGGACCAATGTCTATTCGGGACTTGTACCACTCACGCTCCCATCGCTAATGCGTTATACAGGTTGTCGCCGTGTTTGGCACTATAGGGCGGCCGATTGGGACAAGATGCGGTCCTTTTTGCATCCTACTCTTGGGGGCGTTTTTGCTTCTCGCCGGATGATCTCAACTTTGTTGCTAATTCTGTCGCTGATTTGGTGCTTCAGGGAATGGAACATTTTATTCCATCATCTGTGGTACCTATTGGAGGTAGAACTCGGTCATGGTTTGGTCGCTCCTGCAAAATTGCTTCACGCCATAAGCAGGAGTGCTACCGGGCTTGGGCTGACGCATCGAAGTCTCGGGATGCAAATACCAGCAATCTCAAAAGAAGTATAATTCCGCCTCCAGGTCTTTCAAAAGTCATTGCCAAGCACAAAGAGGACGACTCAATGGCCCATGCCGCAAAGGAAAAAGCCAATCTGCTTGGCACTCTTTTTGCCTCCAACTCAACTCTTTTATGATGGGGGCAACACACCACCGCCCATCCCGCGGTGTGAGTGCTTCATGCGGGATGTGCTGTTTACCCAGTTTTACGATAGAGATATAATATAGAGGTCTGTTTATGTAGAGGATTTGAAACTTTCTGCCAATACGTCTAAATGGCGTCCACTTGCCATAAGATGTTGTCAAAATTCCGATGTCATAAAGATAAGAAAGAGAACAAGCAAGACAGGGACAAAAACAGGGGTAGTTTTAATAAAAAAGTGATATACATATTGTTTTTTTATAGGATCGGGTGACAAACGAGTACACAGTCCACCTGATGGTATGTGGTTACTGTGACCCATAGACATCTACATCTATCCTCAATAAAGACTCGAAATGCAGATGCGTTGTCACCCGTGAGGACTAAGATGGAATGCCTCTTGTCCAGTAAAAAGGGTCTCCGGTTCTCTACACTCACCATACGAAACACAGCAGCGTTAAGCTGCTATTTTACGCTGGTATTCTGTGAGGGCATGGTCCTTCTCCGGTCGAGCCGACCCATTCGTGCTACAACTATATTACTAATATAGCTGCAGCTTGGCTCTACCACGTTGAACAAAATCAGTGTTAGATAGTCGAAAACAACTATCGCAGGTTACAAAACAAAGAACTAGTTTTCTCGCCTGCTCACTTAAAGAGTTAAAAGAATTGACCGTAACGGCTCGTAAATGGCTCTACCACGTATATTGTGTTTACACTAGGAACAAACCCAAGCTAGTTACTCAGTCTGTAAATAGCCTTAATACCTATTGAACCCAAATTGTCCTAAGCTTTTGATATTAAATTACTCTTAAACATGATAATTGCAGTAATTTATTATTCTTGCTGGTTAAACCAAGGCGTCATACCTTCAGTCAACAGACTTATTTTGACCATGCTATATAAGCCGTTGCATTTAGAATAAGATCTATTATTATAGTTCTCATCGTAGTAATGTAATCACTTAGTTAAGGAAGTCAGTATTGCACTGAAAGAATTTGAATACATTATTGTAATGTAATAGTAATAAATGTCACCGAGACATATTTAGTTCTTTTTTAAAAAGCTTCAGTACTGCTCCCGAAACTTAACTAGCTAGTCGCAGTACATACATGGTCATGGACAACCAGCTTTATACAAAGAAAGCTACAGATACGTTGTTACTTCTGAGGGCTAAATTGGAATGCCTCATAGCCTGTAATTGTACCAGCTCTCTTTACCCTCGAGACCGTTGTATTTTCATTTACGACAGTTATTGTATTCTGGCGATACTTAAATAAGATTTTAAATCACGTTGACAAAGTGCGCACATAAATAATGACAGCGGTTGCTTAGTCACATTAAACAATTATTTTTTTTATAGTAAAGGGTGACAAACGAGCACATAGTCCACCTGATGGTAAGTGGTTGCTGCGCCTCATAGACATCTACATCTATCCTCTATTACAAATCAAAATGCAGATGCATTATCACCCGTGAGGACTAAGATGGAATGCCTCTTTTCCAGTAAAAAGGGTCTCTGGTTCTCTACACTCACCATACGAAACACAGCAGCGTCAAGCTGCTATTTCACGCTGGTATTCTGTGAGGCCGTGGTCCTTCCCTGGTCGAGCCGACCCATTCGTGCTACAACTATACTACTAATATAGCTGCACCTTGGCTCTACCACGTTGAATAAAATCAGTGTTAGATAGTCGAAAACAACTATCGCAGGTTACAAAACAAAGAACTAGTTTTCTCGCCTGCTCACTGTCGACTAAAGGAGTTAGGAGAATTGACCGTAACGTAGTGTGCAATGTATTAAGTCCACAGAACCCGTCTGGTTATATATATGTCTGTGTAAATACACCATCTCACCTGCAAGATTCATCTAGGACAATAGGCCCATGTATCTCGGGTGACGCGACCACAGGCTCAGCAGCTGCCGTCCCAATATTAGGGAAAGCTTTGTACAGCCCTTTGACTAGATAATTGCCCAAACATCTAGTTCCCGACTGGTTTCCAAGGTATTGAGCTGTGAAACCATACAAAATAAATTATCTGCATGCTGATTCTTAATGGTTAATAGATGTAGATGTCTATGGGTCACAGCATCTACTTACTATCAGCTATCAGGTGGTCTGTGTGCTCTCTTGTCATCTTATTTCTTTTAAAAAAAAACCTATAAATTATTTTACAATTTTCCATCTAAACCATTTTGCAACCGACTTCAAAAGGAGGAGGTTTACAATTTATCGGAATCTTTTTTTTATGTATGTACACACCGATTACTTGAAGAGGCCTGGACCGATTTGGAAAATTCTTTTTTGTTTCAAACGGTTCCATTTAAATTTTATCGAAATCACCAGTTTTTTAAAAATCAACAATTAAATATATTATATAATAATAATAATAATAATAATAATTTATTGGACTCTCAGTTTGACAAATTACACTGATGTATTATATCTATTTTAAATTACAAAATAACATTTCAAATAAGTTAGCGTTAACGGCCATACTAGTATAAACTGTGTTACAGCCGTCAGCGTCTTCCACCCTAAGTAGTACAAAAATAATTTCATTTCGCTATACAATACACAGACATGTTAAAATAAATATGGAAAATAAAGAGATTTTTTTTTCTAATTACCACAAACCTCTGTGTGTGTGTGTGTGTGTGTGTGTGTGTGTGTGTGTGTATGTGTGTGTGTGTGTGTGTGTGTGTGTGTGTGTGTGTGTGTGTGTGCGTGCGTGTGTGTGTGTGTGCGCGTGCGTTAGTATTTAAAAATTCATTAACCTCTCTGTTTCCATGTAATTAAGATTTAGCAACCAGTATAGAATTTTGTCCTTGCATTTATAAAGGGACATAGGGTAAATATAGCTTATTTTATTTGCTACATTATATAAATGACTGCTTATGACATAATATTGTCGCCGGGCTAGAGCAGTTCTATGAAAAGTCATTTTACAAATTCTATTTTTGTTACGTTTTAAATTAGGTATAAAATCTGTATTTAAGAATAAAATATTTATATTGAAGTTGGTTGTACAAAAATTTTAATTATACCACTTGTTTGCGAAACATGGTCCAAGCAACAAATGCTCTCGTTAGTGCCTACTATCTCGGGGATTAAAGGAGTGTTGCCATGTATGTATTTATTTTAAAAGTCAATCTTTTTTTTTTTAGGATAGGGTGACAAACAAGCACACAGTCCACCTAATGGTAAGTGGTTGCTGTGACCCATAGACATCTACATTTATCCTCAATAAAGAATCAAAATGCAGATGCATCGTCACACATGAGGACTAAGATGGAATGCCTCATTTCCAATAAAATGGGTCTCCGGTTCTCTACACTCACCATACGAAACACAGCATTATCAAGCTGGCATTTCACGCTGGTATTCTGTGAAAGCATGGTCCTACCACAGTCGAGCCGACCCATTTGTGCTACAACTATACAACTAATATAACTGCAGCATGGTTCTACCACATATATCTCATGGTAAGTGGCCACTACTGTCCATGGACTCCTGCAGCCAAGGTCAATTAAGAAAGGCTACAGATGTGTTGTCACTTCTGGGTACGATGGAAAGCCTCACAGGCTGTATTTACACTGGCCCTATAGAGGGTATAGATCTTTCAGACCGGAATATAGCAGTCCAAGCACTGCTATTTAGCGACATAAATAGGTAAAAAATGGTACCTCCCTAGACAGATTAATAGGAGTCCTACCACCTAGTAATGTATGTACTCTGAAGGGTTATTTTGTAATAACCGGCCAAATTTGCAGAGAAGGTTCAGTATAAGTAATATAGGCATATGGTGAAGAAAAATTAATTAAAAAAAATCTCAAACATTCTGTCCTTTTATCCTTTAAATTCAAATTTAATGGATTACTTTGACTGATTTTACTGTGCACGCACACATTCGTAAGGGTCGATCGGTAGGCAAAAACGTTGTTGTCCATAAATCACATTAAATTTGGGATAATTTAAAATAAAAGTAGCAGCCTTATTTACTCATATTTTCAAAAACTGCAATAACGGTATATCATTATTTATATATTTGAACTTAAGTTTAAAATTTACCTACCATTTCTTAATTTGTTCACATCCAAACCCAACTGTGATAGCCTCAGCAACTCATCCTCATTGTTCAAGCTATGGTCCACCGTTAGTTGGACCACTCTCAACACGGCATTGTCATCTGTCCTACACAAAAGGGCTCTGGTTTCACCGACGTTCGCCACAAACAACTTGTTATTGTGCACCAGAGCTATCACAACTGTAGCACCACCGGAGAGATGCTGATCGATCTCTTTCAGACGGGAGAGTATGTTGTCGCCGTTTTGAGATATCTGGAATATAGCATAGTAACCATTAATTAATTAAATCCATTGCCATACATATGGCTCCTCATAGATTATCTCATAAAGGGATTTTTGCCATAGTTGCCACGCTTGGCAGGTTTGTTGGCAACCAGTTTTTAATTTTCTAGTAGTATAAAGAAGTCGCTGCTACCCGTATCCTGGTATATTTCCCGCTGTTAGCTATTACGTTACCCGTGGGACAATATGGGGTAGTGGATATTCTTACACAATCACCAAAACGAAATAGGTACTAGGTCCATTAATCATTACAGCATATAAAAGTTCACTGCTGAACATAGGCATAGATTGCCTCATAGACCTTGCACATAGGCTCCCTTCCTTCTGGGACAGTTAACAAACAATGTAACCCACCGGCGCTAATGAAATTGTTATGAATGTTTAAGTTCTGATTTACTACGTGCTCAGCGGTGAAGAAAAACATCGTGAGGGAACTTGCATATCTGAGAAATTAAAGAAAAATATGTCGAGAAGACATGTGGAGTCCACCAACACGAATTGAGGCAGCCAACGGAATTACCTTGCCATAAAACCCATCTCAGAATTAAGGCCAGACGGAGACTTGTGTCCAGCAGTAATAGAAATAGAAACTTTTTTTTATTAAATATTGAAGATTGCTTATTAAAAGTCGCTATTAAGTTTAATAGGGTGGGCCAGAAAGGAGTACAATTTTAAAAACACTCTTGCGTTTGAAGCTTTAAGAGGAGATTGCGCGGGTGGTGGGGTTAAGTAGGTCGGTTCTAGGAAATTTAGTCGCGATGGATCACTTCACGGGAGCGCAACGTGCATTCTGCGTTAAACATTTCGTGCGCTATTGTTCGGCGTATATTTCGACGTGAGTTTGGATTACATGACCTAAATCAGTGTCCGAAGGAAAACGTGATTCGATCGTGGGTCAGAAAGTACGAAGCTACTGGTTCGAAAGCGTTCAGCCGAACTTGTGGTGTCCAGAACATCTTTGCGTCGCATTTTGTTGAAAGATCTGAAATTGCATCCGTATAAAATTCAACTTGTGCAGGAATTACAGCCAAATGATCCAATTTTAAGGAGAGCTTTTGTTGAAACGATAAAGGAACGCTTTCGGAGTTTCAACAATATTCTGTTCTCCGACAAAGCCCATTTTCACATAAATGGGCAGGTGAATAAACAGAATTGCCGTTACTGGACTGCAGAGAACCCACATGCAAAACATCAAAAGCCTCTACATTCGCCGAAAGTAACCGTTTGGGCGGCCATGTCAGCGCACGGAATTATCAGACCCCACTTCTTCGAAAATCGACAAGGCCAATCTGTCACTGTAAATTCTGACTGATACATAGCCATGTTAAGGGATTTTTTCTTTCCACAACTGCAACAATTTGAAGCCTATAATCGTGCGACATGGTTTCAACAAGATGGCGCGACATGCAACACAGCTAATGCCTCTTTGGCGGTCGTAAACGAGATGTTTGGTGAGAAACTGATATAGCTTGAATGGCCTCCTAGAAGTCCGGATCTTACACCACTGGACTTTTTTTGTGGGGATACCTAAAAAGTAGAGTCTACTCCAATAACCCAGCCACAATTGACCAGTTGAAGCCCAATATCCGGTAAGAAATGGCAGATATTCCCCGTGCAATGTGCCAGCGAGTTTTTACCAATTTGAGGTTCAGATTCGAAGAATGTTTGCAGCGCGATGGTGCACATCTGGATGATGTTATTTTGAAGAAATGAATTTCCCAGATATAAATTTTTGTAGAAATAAAACTTTGTATGTGAATTGTACTTAGTTTTTTTTTTAATGATTTTTTCATATTCGCTATTCTTTCTGGCCCAACCTGTACCACTGTTCCACAAAATACTTCTGCCTTGGAAAGAACCAGCAAGAAAACCAGGAGGACATTTCTTTTAAATAACTGAGGTTAAACAATTAAATACACAAAAAAAATTGAAATAGCTTGGTAGCAACCACATTTCTTTGTTTAATAAAGTATGTATATAAGGGTTTTATTTTTGAAAGAGGAGCCAAATTTTATACATAAGTTCAAATATATAAATATACTTTCAAAAACTACAATAACGTTACTTATAAGACTTTTACTTTTTTTTTTCAATTATCTCAAATTGAATATGATTTATGGGCTACAACAAAGCATACTCTTCTGTTTGCAATTGAAATGATTTAAAATGTTTTTGCCGACCGATCGCCCCTTACGAAAATGTATGCGTGTGTAGTAATAATAGTAGGTGTTAGATATTTATGAATGACAATCAGTTATAATAACGCATTACCACACATTGTGAATTTAAAAGATAAAAAACATTATTTTGAGATACTTTTAATTTTTCTTTTTTCACCATTTTGAAATAGAAACAGAAACTTTTTGATTCAATATAGATTATAAATAATACTTATTGAAAGTCACTCTTTTGTTTAATTATCACTGGTTCGAAAAAACCCTCTGTTCTGGGAAGCACCAGCAAGACACCCAGCGGGACTTTTTTTTAAATAACAGCTTACAATCATGTAATCACAATTAACCACACAAAACAAATTAGAAATAGCTTCGTAGTGATCACCTCATTCCCAATCAGTTATTATCATCCATAAATTCCTTAATATTATAATAACCCTTTTTATACAAACTATGCACAAACACCTTCTCTGCAAATTTAGCGATAAATTGCAAAATAACCTGTATAGGCTGTAGTGCAGTGGTATGTATATAGGCTGTAACTTTACTTTTTTATGTAATAATTACCTGTGTTTCATTTAATGTCTGGAGCCGGTATTGTAAACTAGTTCTTTCAGCTATCATACCATCATAATTTTCTATATATGCTTTTTCCACTGACACGAAAGCATTTCTAAAAACAAATAATAATTAATATGTAGGGTTACCATGTAGTGGCATTGTAAGAATGTGCACTAACCCATATCATCCCTTGGGTGTCGTAAGAGGCGATATAGGGATATAGAAACAGGAGATGAGCAATAACTTCTTCATGATAATGCTCAATAATAATAATAAAAACTGCAATTGCCAACATGCCTGCCAAGTGTGGCAACCGCAAGTGGCTACAATCTAAAGTAAATTGTCATAAAAGTCTTAGTGTAACAAAAGCCTTATCACTTTTGGCAACTATGACAAATATACCCCTACGAGACAATCTATGGAGGAGGCTTTTGTCCATCAGTGAACTTTTAATAGACTTTTAATAGACAATCTTACTAGCCATTTTGTCCTTTTGATGTAATGTAGACATTTTTTTTAGAATAAGTGTGACCAACGAGCTCACAGTCCACCTAATGGTAAGTGGATGCTGTAGCCCATAGACATCTACATTTATCCTCGATTAAGACACAAAATGCAGATGCATTGCACCACTGAGGACTAAGATAGAATGCCAGTAAAAAGGGTCTACGGTTCTCTATACTCACCATATGAAATACAGCAGTATTATGCTGCTATTTTACACTGGTATTCTGTGAGCGTGAGTCGTCCTACCCCAGTCGAGCCGATCCATTCGTTTTTTAACCATAATTAAGCTGCAGCATTGTTCTACCATGTAAATCGCTCTACCATGTATTTATAAATCAATTATGTATAATGCTAGAAATGAGGATACCATATGAATAATGCAATTTTAAACTAAAATAATTGAGCCAGAGGTTAATCCTAACTAAAATTCATGGTTATTTTAATAATTGACTTATGTGTTGACAATGAAGGAAAAAAACGTGAGGCAACATGTGAAGAAAACTGTAATGTCATGTACATCCATTACAGCCAATAAAAGTCCACCGCTGAACATAGGCCTCCCCCACAGAATGCCTCATAGGAAGGATATTTGCCACCTCTCAGTGGGTCATGTACTCCTGGTATATTATCTTCTATACATCCATCCAATACAGCCTATAGAAGTCCACAGCTGAACATATGCCTCCCCCATAGATTGCCTTATAGGGAATATATTTGCCATAGTAGCCATGCTTGGCAGGCAGGTGGCAACCACAGTTTTTTATTTTAATTTATTGTTATTAGAAAGACACTGCTGTCCATCTCCAGGTTTGTCTCCCTGTATTGCCTCATATGATACCCACAGGACTTTATAGGGTTGTGGATACTCTAACACCACCACTACATGGTGGGATGTCATGTAAAGTCAGCTTATTCACACCAAGTTAGCACAGCCAACTGTTTCCACCATGTGCCAAAGGGATGGCATTAGAAGGAAATTTTATCTCCACACTCATTATATTGCATGAAACTAGGTTTACGGATTTTATCTTGTTTTTGGTGCAATTTGATTAACAGACTGTGAACATGCACAGGATCATCCCACTACTACATCAGATTTGATAGACTTCAACTCCTCGCACAAGAACACCGACTCCTACCGAGGATGATTAGTGAGGATAGTGAAATTAAAAATCATCCTAATTTCAATTGAGAAGATGGCTGGGTGCTACTATCTGCTTGGAATGCTATAATTAATTAATTAAATTTAATCCCATCCCAAGCAAATACCAGCAAAACTTCAAGATACCATAAGCTTCTTCAGCATAGATTTTTTAAACTGAAGGTAGCCATGGTTAACTATGACATTAGGGCGTCGAACACCTCAGTAAAAAGCGTTAAAATCCATTAAACTAGTTTCATTCAAGTGTAGTGTTTGCGTAAACCTAAGAAATCATTATTCACTAAATACACTTTAGATTAAGATTTACCTCAGTCTATCTCTTATCTCTTCATCTGAATTGCTAATAGATGGTGGTGGCAATAGCATTTCTACTGCCATCCTCTGCATAATGAATTTAGCGGCATCCAAGCCATTATGTGGTTCAAAAACCCCATACAAACATCTGAAAAATAGTAATTTATCTTTAATAATTTGGATGAAGTTTAGTTTTACACTTATAAATTTCTTGTTAGTTGTTGTTCATATTCAAGATGGATTGTATGTTTGGCGGATTAAGCAAAAATAGCATCAATAATTATATAATATAATATGTCTATGTCTGTTCACTGTACATTGCATAACTTTTGTTAAATACCTGTAGAATTGCTAAAGTTATACATCTTGCCTCGTGGCAACAATAATCATTTATTGTATTTTGAATTAAGAAATTTATAAAGTTTCTATAAATAGTAGTCTAACCTTTCATACACATAATAAGTTAGCGTGACGGTAAAAGCAAAAAGTGGTACCTAATGTATTTGCGACTTTGTAACATAGTAGATTAAGTGAATCATAATATGCCATATACTTTTAAAACTGCAAATAATGGTGTCATTGGAAAAGATACAGGCTCAGCCTAGTGCATAAAATTGTATAGATAAGTTATAACTCATATCATATGTTCAAATGTCTTAACGAATAATTCAAACCTTACTTTGTGCCCATAAATTATTATTATTATTAATATCTTTCAGACCGATTTCGGCTACAGCGGAGACTATCCATCTGCGCAAGACAGGATTATAGTGCTCATGTATAAGCGCAAACACAAATGATCCGACCTAAAGACTCCGACATGACCGGAGAGAGATCAGGTAAGCTTCACGTGATTTCCGAGGCACGGGGGTGAAAAACTGCCATCTTTCTGTATCCGGGCTGCTACTGAGAATTTTTTAACAGAAAAACAAAAAATTAAGAAAAAATTACATACGATCCATCCTCTGTTTGACAATAAAAACAGAGGTAATCGTCCGTTGAATTCACATTTCCACCAACTTGCGAAAGGTATGATGCTACACAAGTATTTTTGCACTTCGGCAAGTCATCTGTCCAAGGCCTTGCTATCATGTTATTAAAATCATGAATTTACCCAGTAAGTAGAACAACAAGAGTAACAATAAGAATATATAATCAAAAAAAAAATCACTTTAAAAGTGTAATATTTAATCATAAATAAAAATAAATTAGGCTGTCAGGCTGTCATAATATGTAATCAAATTGATATTTCTATTTTTATTAGGGATGTCTAAAAATAATCGATTTTTAATAAATCGATTATGTAAATTACACATTTTAATCGATTTTTGTAATCGGCGTTATCTGTGCGACAGATGAAAAATGCGAAGTAAGTTCACTAACATGAACAAGTCGATCAAACGACGGCGCCACCTGTATTTATCTCTATGTATGTAAAACAGTTTCGCTTTTCGTATGTTTTCAACAGTTTTCTTTCTCCGCTAGGAGTAATAGTATTCTGTGCTTTTCTTTCTTTCTTTGGAGTCTGTAAATAATTGTTAAACAATAAAAATGTCTTGTAAAACACCTAAAAGTGTCTGACGAAAGTATTTTCTAATGAAAAAATATTATTGGCCAACACGTTAATAGGCAAAAATACTGATTTGGACCTATGTATTGCGGCACCACTATCAAATCTTAAGGCAGATGCCCTCAATATATGGAGAAGCTCTGAAGGTATTTTCCCTAAGCTAACCGAATTGGCTCTTAAACACCTCTCTGTGATGGTCAGTTTTAAGATTAAGATAAGAAAGATTATTTTCGAAAGCGAAAAATCGAAACCATATTTTAGGAAAGAGGCGAAGAAGAATTTTGGTAAAATTATTGTTTTTAAACTCTTTAACTGAAAATTCATGGCAATATTTTTTTTTACTTTTTTTGTTTACACATGTTTAAAAAAAGATTTGACTTGTATTTTAGTTTTGAGACCAAAACGTTGTCGTTTGATTATTTATAATTATATTTTTATTTTATTTTCATTCTAGTCCAATGTAAATGATATTGAACATTACTGGCAATAATTATTATTTTTTTGTTTAAACTTAAAGTTAAAAAAGATTTATTTTGTATTTTAGTTTTGAGACCAAAAGGTTGTCGTTTGATTATTCAATCTTATAGTTTTATTTTATTTTCATTCTAATCCAATTTAAATGGTACTGAACAATGAGGATCAGTAAAGTTATAGAAAATTCAATAAAACTAGTATCCATGTTATTCTTTATGAGATAAGAATTATATATCTTTTTGAATTAGCCAAATCGGACCATTACTTACGAAGATATTAAGTAATAAACATAGGCCGTTACTGTCGCTAAAAGTCAATGTACGCAGGTCCGCGTGACGTCACTGTGACGGAAACGAATGCATCATAGTAGTACATACATGTATTCTGTGGTAGTTCACGATTCGATGGAGTGTGGAGACGCGGTTGGGCACTATATTTAGCAATTTATTTGAATAAAGCGTTGTTACCGTATAATTTTGTGATTGTTTAAGTATTAAAAGTACATAATATGAGTGCTAATAAAGTAGAAGCTGGTTTTGTGCAAGCTCAATCAGATAACCGTCCAAAAGTGGATTCTTTCATGGTATTTGATTATCTAAGTAATCATTCTAAGTTCACCAGCGCTGAAATCCGTTGTTGGAAACTACAAAGGTAAGGGTGCTGCTTATTTATCTACGTTCGATAACCGGTTTGTTCGGGATATTTTTCGGAAACCGGCTTGTTCGGGAGACTGGAAGTAGTCTAGTCTGCGCGCGAGACGATTCGTAATGACTCTCGAAAACAGTACGTAGACGTGGCTCAGAAGGGAAATCGGTCTGTAGTTCTTCAAGAGAGCATTGTCACCTTTCTTGAAGAACAAGACCACCGCACTTCTGCTCCACCATGCCACCATGGAGGACTGAATCAAAGAGCTACTGAAGGACTTCATGTACCGGATTTCCACCCGCTTTCAGAAGCTCCGCTGTAATTCCATCCTCGCCTGGGGCCTTGCCGTTTTTCAGGTGCTGGAGAGCCATTCTAATTTCGCTCATACTGACGTCCGGGATATCATCGGAATAGTGTCGGATAAGACTCGCTCTTGGATCGTTACTCACACTTGCGTTTAGCTCCAGCGATGATGTGTACAGCTCAGTTACTACTGAAGATAAAAATACTGATAACACGAATTCAAATCAGTTTTTCCTAGCAGTTGTGCAAAGCCTAAAGGAAAATCCTATCAAAAATCAGTTATCAGTATACGTTACAAAGAATCAGTATAAAAAATTGTCCTTGCATAACCTCATTCATCAATACAAAAATGAAGGCAATAATATAAATAGTGCAGATAATTTTATTGATTATTGTTCTACTAAAATCACCATAGAGAAATATCACAAAGCAGAGGAAGCAACAGTTTGTCAAGCTAGTTCACCGTTATGGCATGAGTTAAGGTATTGTAGAATAACCGCGTCTAAAGTTCACGAAGCCACACATTGCAAGACTCCTGATGGTGCTTTGATTGAACAAATATTTGGTGCTTCTGTACCAGAGACTCTGTCTATGAAAAGAGGCAAACGATTGGAATCCAATGTCAGAGCAGAAATAGCCAAAACAAGGAAAGTAGTTATTGAAAATTGTGGTTTCTTTTTAAAACCTGATTGGCCTCATTTAGGTGCTTAGGTTATTTGAGTCTTGATTCTCACACTCTACTACTTCAATGGAATGCAACAACAGGTCTTCGCGTCTAATATCTCTACTTAAAACTCTTTCAAAATATTCTGTCTTGTCGTTTTTTAAAACCCGGTCGGTCAATTTTCTTTTTTTTGGGGCTTTTGGCATTCAAACTTATGAGGCAAAACTCCCTTCTTCAGTTTAAGCTTTCCTCCAAGTAACTTAAACTTTACGTAATTTTCCATATCTTCTTCTAACTGAAATATAAAAATGTATATAAGTATTAATTTATTTGCTTCTAACAATAAGGCATAGCTGAGGCAGATACATAAATTCACCGCTGTTATGTAAATGATTATAGAATATTATCATTCACTCTTTGCTTTTTACCTGAGTACGGCTCTGTCATTGTTTTGACCCTGGAATACGAAATACGATGTTTTTACATATAAACATCTGAACCGATTTTAATGACTTCGATCTGAGATCTTAAAATGGATATAGGTTACTTTTCATCACAAAAATAAAACTTTACGGGGATGAAATAGCGGTGAGATAAAAACTTTCTGTGACAAACTGAATTCAACGCGGGCGTAACCGCAGGCAAAAGCTAGTAATACATAGAAATGGGAACGTGCGAATATATAGGTTTACGTTAGTAGATACGTTAGTGCGTAGTTTTATCAACAAAACTTAAAAAAAGTAAATAGGTATGTTTTTATTAATACAGCAGGCTAAAAATAAGAGAATATACAGGTACACTACACGTAACATAAGGTACCAACTTATTTCCATATCAACTAAGTAATAGGTATAATAGATATGTAGGTACGTACATCGAAGTGATTCTGATCTTCACAGCAATTTCTTGTAGCCTGAGCAGAGGGTGTAGTTTTATCATCTCTTTTTACAATGGAATACCATTTTTTTACGAAGTTGGGGTCTTTCGGTACGTTAAAAATAGTTTTTCTGGTGTTTTAATAGAAGTGTTTGTACATTTCGGCACTATACAATATTTATACATAGTTAAAAAGGTAAATTAGACACAAATCGGACACTTAATTTGTTTCAAAGTCACAATTAACCAAACAAAACACTGCGCGCCTTATTACTGCCAACGGCTAACTGGCGAAGACCGTCATAGTGACGTCACAGCTACCGCGCCGGGCCGTCAGTGAACTTCGCTAGTAATTTGATCATAACTTCGTTAATTTTTGTCGTAGAACAAAAATTTTTGCACTGTATGTTAAGGATTTCTTAGATCTATAAATCTGCATTCTCAACTAAAAACGTTACGGATCCTCATTGTGGCAACAATGATATTTAGATTTTTTGTTTGTTCAAACTTACTTTAAAAGAACTATCGTTTCTTTTTATTTTGGTTTTAATAAATTGTCAAATAGCACAGAAAATTCGTGGCAGTAATTATTTTCAATTTTTTATTGTTTAAAGTTATCATCATCATCATCATCATCATAACAGCCCTTCACAAGTCCACTGCTGAACATAGGCCGCCCCCAAGGAATGCCACAAAGCACGGTCCTGAGCCACCTGCATCCATCGACTTCCTGCATATCTTACCAGGTCGTCACACCATCTAGTGGGGGGACGCCCTACACTTCGCCTGCCGATACGATGCTGCCACTCGAGAACCTTTTTTCCCCATCGGTTGTCGGTTCTTCGAGCTATATGGCCGGCCCATTGCCACTTCAGCTTACTAATCCGTTGGGCTATATCGGTCACTCTGGTTCTACTGCGGATATCATCATTTCTAAGTTTATCACGCAGAGAAACTCCGAGCATAGCCCTCTTCGTAGCTCGCTGAGCGACCTTGAGCTTCCTTATCCGGCCAGCAGTGAAGGACCACGTCTCAGTTCCATATGTCATCACTGGCAACACGCACTGGTTGTACAGTCTCGTTTTCAAGTTTTGAGGTATACCTGACGAGAAGATGTGCCGTAATTTCCCGAACGCTGCCCAACCGAGTTGAATCCGTCGATTGACCTCTCGGTCGAAGTTAGACTTACCTAGTCGGACTATTTGTCCCAGGTAAACCTACTCGTCAACAACTTCGAGCTTAGTGCTCCCAACAACTACCGACATAGGTGTGACATGGACATTAAACATGATCTTTGTTTTGTCCATGTTCATCTTAAGACCTATCCGTTGGGAAACACTATTGAGGTCATTGAGCATAGTGCTTAGGTCCTCCAGCGATTCTGCCATAAGGACTATATCGTCGGCAAATCGAAGGTGAGTGATGTACTCGCCATTGATGTTGATACCGTATCCTTTCCAGTCCAGAAGCTTGAAAACGTCTTCCAATGCAGCGGTGAAGAGTTTCGGGGATATGACGTCACCCTGTCTTACACCTGTCTGCAATTGGATAGGTTTCGTA